GCTGACCCAATGGACTTCGTAGCAGGCCATTGTATATTCTTCAAGCCTATTGAATCCTCCTAAAAATCATTCACACTTCCCCATCTCCCTTTCCTCTAAGAAGCAGGGGACATAGCATCTGTACCGCATTGGGATATTAGGTAATCACTCTGGTTCTCCCCGTGTACACACTAATACATTGGTTTGCCTTTTCTCCAACTGATCTGTCTTTTGTGAGTTGATTTTTCAGCCAACCTTCAGACGGGAAAGGGGATGTTTTCCCTTGGCCCCTACAAGGGCTCCCCTGGGCGAAGATATTGCACACATGTTACTGCATTTCACGGCTAGAGGAGGGAGTCCCTTCAAGAAGGAAGAACATAGGAACCTCTGCCTGGATTTCTCCACACTCCACCTGATGTGCCCTTGTCCCTTGCTGACCCTGCTGTGTATCATTTCACTGTAATAAATCTTAGCCACGAATACAACTACGCGTTGAAACCTTCTAGTACACACTGAACATGTGGATGCTCATAGGTCTCTGGAAAAACAAACTCTCAAAGGTCTATCATGTAACTCTAATTTTATAGTTTCAAAATCCAAGGAATGGGAAAGTTATGAGATGCAGACGTGGCCACTTAGTAGGTGAAAAAGCTGCATCTAAATCCAGTCTGTTTCCTTCCAAAGACTGTGCTCATTCCATTGTGCCAGGCAGCCATACGCAGTCACATACATCCCAGACCAAGGCAAGCTTCTTTCTAAGATACAACACCTAGTAGCTACAGGGTAGCTCTGCAACTTGAGAAAATCTCTTAAAGGATTTGAAGCCCAGATTTCTTCACTGTAAATCTGCAATAATAATACTAATGCCACAAAATTGCTGTGAGGATTTAATAAGTACAACATACAAAGCATATGTGTGAAGCACATACATATTAAATACACAGTATATTAAGATCTATAAAGTAGCCTAATGCCTTTATACATGGTACCCATCCATAAATTAAAAAACTAGACAAATATGTATAGATGTGGTCAACATATAGACATTTGTATAAACATGTACATATACATGCACATATATATAGCCACATAAATACACATGCATGTTAATTATTCATCTAACAATTTCTGCCTTGAGTAAAGTGCACCAGTCACCATTCACAGATGAAGCTAGTTAGGATTTTATAGGTGAACCTGATTTTTACACTTACTGGTTTCAAAATAGGGAACCACTTTTATCCGGAAACCCTCTGCTCAAAGCCTAAAGGCTGACTTTCCTTAATGTTTAACCTATGAAATTAATTATTAGCCAGACAATTAAAAGCTTTGCTCAAGACACTAACTGGTACTTACCATGAGCTCTAACATACACAGGTATGGTGGCCATATTTTCATAACTCCAAGTTACAACCTGTGACCTAGCAATGAATTACTGTGCTGGGAAACTGAAACTCCCTCAGAAACCCCAGTTTCTATACAGAATATTCAGTCCTCCTACAACCATGGAAAGCATACTTCTGTGGTTAATATTTATTATCGGCTGCGTGCAATGGCTTACGCCTGTAATCCCAGCACTTTGGGAGGCCAAGGCGGTGGATCACCTGAGGTCAGGAGTTTGAGACCTGCCTGACTGACATGGTGAAATCCTCTCTCTACTAAAAATAGAAACCCTCTGCCTCCAGGGTTCAAGAGATTCTCACTGCCTCAGCCTCCCAAGTAGCTGGGATTACAGGCATCCACCACCACTCCCAGCTAATTTTTGTTTTTTTAGTAGACACGGGGTTTTGCCATGTTGGCCAGATCACTGAGCCACTGCGCCCAGCCTCATCTGACTTTTTCTCTGCAGAGCAAAGATATGAAAGAACTAACTGTAACCCAAACCTACCACTTTTCACGGGGAAAACCCCAGTCATCCCACTCAACTCCAAGGTCACACTTACTAGCAGTAATATCCATTTGGACATTACTACCTGAGTGGCCTCAGACAAGTGATTTATCCTATTGGTACCTTCACCTCCTGATTTGTAAAATGGAGATAATAAGAATGTTGGCTCTATAGTATTGTACATCTAAACATTTGTTAAGAAGGTAGGTCTCAGGCCAGGCATGGTGGCTCATGCCTGTAATCCCAGCACTTTGGGAGACTGGGGCAGGTGGATCACTTGAGTCAGGAGTTCGAGACCCACCTGGCCAACATGGTGAAATCCTGTTTCTATTAAAAATACAAAAACCAGCTGGGTGTGGTGGTACGCAGCTACTTGGGAGGCTGAGGCAGGAGAATCCCTTGAAACTGGGAAGTGGAGGTGGCAGTGAGCCAAGATCTGCCACTGCATGATCAGAGTAACTCTGTCTTAAAACATAATAATAATAAAAGAAGGTAGCTCTCATATTAATGTTCTTACCACAATACATTTTTTTTTTAAAAAAGTGTCTACCTCATACAGTTTATTTATTAGTAAGTTAATAAGGGTAAAAAGGATTAGCACAGTGCCTGGCACATAGTATAAAATAAATAAATGAATAAAATAGCACATCTTCTACTGTTCTCTAATTGCTTCTATAACCATGTCGTAGTCCTGACAATACTATGAACTGTTTAAGGTCAGGGATCACACCAGCACTGTGCTTCCCTGTCCATCTTCCTTTCCTCAGTGAACTGAAACCAGAGCTAGACATGTTAGGCCACCAACAGACGGCTGTGAGTCCAACTGTGGCAGAACTGCACAGGAGAAAGCAGCCTGGAATACAGTGTCACTCACTCTAAGCAATGCCTCTACATCCACGGCTTCCAAAATATTTGACTCCAATGCACAGTAACAAATAATTTTAGGTTGTAATTCAATATACACCTGCATATGCCCCTATGTTTTATAGCATATATCTAAATGAAATAAAAGTATTGTAAAACAATACTTACTCTTTTTTTTTTTTTGAGACAAAGTCTTGCTCTGCCACCAAGGCTGGAATGCAGTGGCACAATCTCGGCTCACTGCAACCTCCACCTCCCAGGTTCAAGCGATTCTCTTGCCTCAGCCTCCTGAGTAGCTGGGACTACAGGCACACATCACCATGCCAAGCTAATTTTTTGTGTTTTTAATAGAGATGGCATTTCACCCTGTTGGCCAGGCTGGTCTTGAACTCCTGACCTCAGTTGATCCGCCCGCCTCAGCCTCCCAAAGTGCTGGGATTACATAAAATCTTAAAATATTACTCTAACTTTCCCTCTGCCTTTCTGTGTAAAAACAGGCCATAAAGAAATTATCTGACCTACTTTGGTTAACTGTAGGTCATAAGACTCCCATTGCAAGCCGGGCATGGTGGCTAACACTTATAATCCCAGCACTTTGGAAGGCTGAGGCGGATGGATCACCTGAGGTGAGGACTTCAAGATCAGCCTGGCCAACATGGTGAAACCCCATCTCTACTAAAACATACAAAAATTAGCTGGGTGTTGTGGTGCACGTCTGTAATCCCAGCTACTTGGGAGGCTAAGG